CATGGCCAGGCTAATTCTAGGCAGACACGGGCTTGCCGAGCATCGTGAGAACCGGCGCCATCAAGCTTACAATACTAGAGTGGGGTATCGTGCTGGAGAGGCAAGAACCTGCCCAGAGAAAGCCAGCAGCACCTGCTGTGGATCTGCTAGCTCGTCCGCAGCACCGGGTCAGAGGCGCAAAAGTCAAAAAGAATGCACCTTGCACGGGACTCGAACCCGCAACTTCCAGCTTAGGAGGCTGGCGCGCTACCATTGCGCCAACAAGGCTCCTTGAATTGACGGTGAGCGTATGGCATTATGTCGGCAGAAGGCAAACCCACAATCTGCTTCCTCAGTCAGGTTCCGGAAACCATCTTCCTCAACACGCTGGCAGCAACTTGCCTCACATGGAAGGATTGCAGACCAAGATACGCCCCAACTCCTTTATATACACACCATCCATTTCTTTCCTTCTAGGCACGACGGTTCACCAATGTGCAAGAAAACGTCGTCGTCTTGAGCTTGCTCATCAACAATCTCGCGGTTCGGCAGGTCAATCCATAAAAGTAGTATCCAAGATATCGCAGGTGTAGCCCGAAGCCTCTGCAGTCTAGCCATAATGAAAGGTCCCAAACCCTCAACCCAAGCTCTCTTACAATATCCTCCAGATTCTATGCAGCAATCCCGAGACCGAACGACCAAAGAAGTTGATCGAGCCGGACAGAAGTCTGTCTTCGCTTCTTCATCTGGGCGACCGCCCCAGCTAAAACCGGCCCCTGCGCAGAAACTTGTTTGGCAGGTCAACGTACTTGGCCCTCAAAAACTCACACAGGTTCTTTCCCAGCGTGTCATACTCGCTCGTCGAGTTGAATCCACGGTCCAGATGATCTCTCAACAGGAAATGCACCGCTCGGATTCCCGGAATCTCGAAACGTTCAATCTTCTTGCCCTTGTTGCTGCCGTCCAGCAGCTGTCCGATGCGATCGATGGTCAAGACGCTCCGTAACCAATCCCACTCGTCGTCGTGCCGCACATAAAATCCAACGTTCGCATCACTCGCTTTGTCGCCGGACCGCCCGCCGACGATCCACCCCAGCGGACCCCTCGTCGTGGGACCGAATGCCGCGAGATCGACGGGGTCGCGCGTCTCGTATGACTTTTGGTCGCGAGGATAGTCGGTGCGAACGTTCTGCTGAACCGGAATGTCGATGCCGCGGCCGGCCCAGGGAAGCTCGACGCGGTGCTTTACTGCCGATTGCGGCAGCAGGGTGACGTAGTACTCCCAGTACGGTTTGCCTTCTGACTGGCGCTGGTCGTTGTGCAAGGACGCGCCAGGGCAAGACTGAAGGAAGTTTTCCATGCACCATCGGTTGAGGCCGCTGCCGTTGTCTTAGTATAGAGGCGACGGATGACCTAGATCACGGCACTTACGGGACGTCTAGCGTGAACTTATCAACGAGTTCCCTCTTTTTCGTCTGCACAAAAATGCGCATGTCGACCGTGGCGATCTCCTGATTGCGCGGATTCTCCGGACAGTACCCGTTTAGACTGAATTTGAGGCACGTGAGATCTTTGACGGCATCGCCAATCGAGTAGCGGATCTGTCGCTCCGTCCATTCGGCCTTCTCCTCGAGGTCCAAGCCGACGAGGTAGTAGTGAAACTCGGCCTGGTAGCCGCCCCATGCCGTGAGGCCGACCTTGGTCGTCGAAGGCGCGGCAAGACCCTTGACACCAGTGACCTGAACGCGGTCCTGGCCTACCTGCGTCATGACGACACCTTCGAGGTTGGCCGTGACATCAGAGCCGTAGTACAGCGGTCCCTGGATCTCGTATAACAGTTGCGACGACACGGTGCCGACCGAGACCTCGCCACCAGTGCCCTCCTCCTTGGTGATGATACATGAACCGTCCGAGTCAACTTCGGCAATGGGAAAGCCAAGGTTCTCGCAGCCATCCATCAACTGCTTGAAGCCAGAGTAGTAGCCGCCTGTGACGTAAGCGGAGCATTCGATGAGATGTCCACACACGAGAGAACCGGCGATCTGGTCGAGATCGCGCTCACGGTCCCAACCGTGCCACCACATAGAGGCTCCGATCGTTGGGGCAGCGTCGGCCACGCGGCCAGCAATGACGATATCGCAGCCCTGACGGAGAGCCTCGGCGATGCCTGCGCCCCCGAGATAGCATCTACGTTGCCTGTTAGCGATGTTTGGTATGCCGCACACAAGGAGACTGACTGCGCGGCCACAAAATCGTCCATGTGGCCCCAGTCTTTGAGTGGTTCCCCCGTCATGAGGCTCGTGAAGGTCTCGCCGTCCTGCCACATCCGCCTCACCGTCTCCGTCACCTCATCGCCGTTGATCCACCCGACCTTGAGATCAAGCCCCTGCTTCCTCACCTCAGCCTCGACCACTCCCGCCAGCAGCTCGGTATCGCTCGCACCGGCATTCACGGCAACCTTAATGTTCTTGCTCCTCAGGAACGGCAGCGCAGGGCTCAGGTTCTCCATGAAGGTGGGGTCGAAGAGTCCCACAGGCTCTTGCGCCAACTTGCCGGCTTTTCGCAGCCGCTCGTTCTCCTGCTTTTGAGCGCCATGCAGCGTCATGGTACATTCGGAGAGCCAGTCACCAATGATGCAGTCAATATCACAGTTGCGAGCGAGGTCCCCAATGGCGCGCTGGCGGTCTGAGAAGCCGCCAGACGAGCCGGCTATGCGAATGGCGCGCTTGGTCGACGGCATTTTGCTTCTGGTGGCGGTTCTCTCGTGAACTTCGTAAGATGACCTGAGTAGCCGTGTTCAATGGTGTCTTTAATGGTGTTTTCAAAGGAAAGTCTGCCACGAATTCGCGATGTTTCGAGACTGCTGGCGGGTTACTTTGAGGCCATCGGGGCTATCTTTTTGGGAACCATGGCTCATATACCTTCTACTCTTGAGATGGCGGTAGCCGGAATCCCTTAACCCCGGAGCCCCATGCGCCGACACACGCCATGACATTCTCAACAGCAGCGGCAGATCCGAGCTGCCAACCATTGAGTCGTGGACATTGTGACAGGAAGCTGTTAAACCCGGTGCGGAGAAGGGGGACGATAGATGTTCCAATGGCTGCTTGCCCCGCTTCGTAACAACAGCTCGAGTGGAAAACCATATCCAACCATATGGCGAGCTGCGAGGTGCACAACCTGCACCATGGGCTGGAAGATGCTGCCTTGTGGAACAAAGACGGGGCTGGGCGGTCTGAGGAAACAAAAATCCGATTTATTTGAGTGTGGTAAGCTGGAGTAAATCCATTTTAATCGTGCATGTTTTCATGATGGGTGCTCTTCGCAAAACGAAGTGCGGATATCCACAGCCGACTCGAGTCAGGAGTCCAATAGCCACAACATCATGCGAAAACACAACGCTGCCAGATAACTGCTCTTGAGAGTTGGCAATCGGGATCGTATTGGTGACTGGTCAGGATGTCACTCCCGAAAAGGGCCATCTTACCGTATGGCTCAGGTACAGATGTTAGTGACGTTCCCGTCGTTGCTTGGTACAGCTCATCAACCGACTTTCCGCTTTTCGACTGATAGCGTCAGGCATTCTCCGTATAAAGCGCTGCGCTCGTTGCTTTTTGTATTGCACGGCGGAAGACTGATGGCCTGTCGTCCATGGTGCAGACCAAGCATCACGACGGCGGCGGCGACTCGCGCCAGCTGACAGCTCCGGCGGGAATAGGCACAACGGCTTCGCGGGTCCAAATGTGCGAGGCGCCCTCGAGACTGAGGCCCTCGATCAGGCCGCCCTTGATGTTCGCCGTTGGCCGCGCCACCCCCTGCGCACTGCGGCCGTGATGCACGATGCGCGCGCCGCACGTCTTGCAGAAATAGCAGTCGAGCGTGTTGCCCGTCTTGGTGGCGCGCGACCACACGCCGAGGCGTGCGCGAAGGGCAGGGTCAGACAGCGGCGGCAGGTCGGCGGCGGGAAAGGTGGCGGATATGCCAAAGGCGGAGGAGGACTGCCTGCGGCATTCGTTGCAGTGGCAGAGGTATACAGCGACCGGGGCGGGGGTCGGGGTGCGGAAGGCGATGGAGCCGCACTGGCAGGCGACGTTCATGGTGATGGTATAGACCTGGGTGTCGTGATGGGTGGTAGGTTTGCCGACTTGCCTGGTCGGTGATTGGTGACGCCGGTTACAGTGTTTCTGGGTGAGTCGAGGTGAATGTGATCAAGCATGCATTCTCGGATCATCAGGATGAGAGTATTGGACAGTGTCACGCAGAAGGGCGTGGACTGACAGGCCGGGCCGGTGCAGGGCAGGTGAAGCCCGGCGTAGTTACAATACCTAAGGTACCTAGGCAGCTGCGGTGTCTAGGCAGTTGCAGTACCTAGGTAGGCAGGTACAGTACCGACCGAGGCAGTCACAGTGCCTTCTGCCTACCTACCCAGGTAGGTTGGTACCTGCCTACCCACCCAGGCAGCAGGACCTAGACTTGGGCCAGGGACGCCCCGCCCCTGGTCGTTACCCCCCCAATGCGCAAGCTGATCGATGTAACATGCTCATCCTGGCACGTGACTCCGCAGATGATATTCTGGGCCAGGCGTTGATACGCCTAGGTCGATCGATGACTTCACCTCTCGAACAAAGCTGCTGCAGGGCACCTACGTCGGGATCCCACATCATCTGACAGTCAATGCAAGATCGTGTCGATGCCCCTCGTCGAGATGACAGTTGTGAACACCAGCAAAGTGCCGACAGCTTCCCCGCGCGGATCCGGCACCGGCTCTTCGTCTCGCGCCTAAATTGCCCTGCATTGCCATTTACCCCAGATTGAGCCTCCCGGATGCTTGTCCCAACCCAGCATCGATCCGGCCGTGGCGCCCAAGATGCTACGTCGGGTCCCCAGTCACGAGTCGAGGGGTCCGATCGTCCGGCACATATGAGTTCTGCCCGCCCAGTACAGGCATATAGAGGCCCTGCTTGCCCAGCCCAGCGAACAGACTGAGCACGACTGTGGGACACAGACGACATCGACACCTCATGCACTCATCCGCCACGATGCTGCTCTCTCTCGCTCTCGTCTTCGCCCCTCTGGCGGCTGCCCTCCCGGTCGAGAGTCCTCTCGAGATTCTCCGCCGAGAGCCGTCTGCCGGCGTTGTCATTCGCCAGTGCTCCCGGCCTGGCGTCCTCGCCCTCGCCTACGACGACGGTCCTTACCAGTACACCTCCGAGCTCGTTGACATACTTGACGCTGCCGGCGCCAAGGCCACCTTCTTCTGGACCGGCACCCTCTACGGCTGCATCTACGACCATGCTCCGGCCGTGAAGAAGGCATTTGCGTCCGGCCACCAGGTCGCCTCACACACGTGGACCCATCCCAACACCTTTGGCTCCATGACCCCCGAGCAGCTGACGGGCGAGATGGACCGCCTCGACGACGCTCTCGTCAACATCCTCGGCGTCAAGCCCCAGTACATGCGGCCGCCGTACCTCATGACCGGCGGAAACGTCCTGCCGACCCTCAAGGAACTCGACTTCAACGTCATCACGACCGACGTCGACTCGGGCGATTGGGACAGCAAGACGCCCGAGGAGAGTCTGCTGCGATTCACGCGCGCCGGTAGCTGTGGAAAGGGCCACATCTCGCTGATGCACGAGACATACGCGAGTACCGTGAGGACCCTGACGCCCTACCTCATCGACTGGGCCAAATCGCGCAACCTCAAGCTTGTGACCGTTGGTGAGTTCGAACCCCTTTCCCTTCTCGCAATCCTTGGCATTGACAGCATGTAGCCGACTGCCTCGGCGATGCCGACGGTGCCTATCGGGCCGGAAACTTCACCGGCAGCGGGCAGACGTCATGCTAGTTGCGAAGGGCCCAGTGTCAAGTTCCCGCGCTGTGCGGCAGGCTGATGAAGCCCAGCACAGTTGGCGTCTGCTTCGTGATCCAAGGTTGGTGCTTAAAAGAGTAATATAGCGGCGAAGCTTTGCAATCTAGATCTAGACCGATGCGCGTTCTGGGCCGTGTGAATAATTGTTCTGGGAGGTTCTTCTGCCGGGCTTGGTGCAATGGCTTGCTTGCTCTCCACCAAAGGACGTCGTTGGGTGATGAGGGTTCATTTGACACTCCCCAGTAGTCAAATCCCCTTGTGGCCAATGGCTTGGCCTAAGGTCTAGGAACAATATCTAGATCTGGCAACTACATAGGGTGCATGGGCGACTTGGTCGAATGTCGTAATCATCGTCTATTGAATTTCCAGAGCAGAGTTCTGGATTCAAAGTGATGGCCGGGGGGGACCCTAGCATCGACTGTGAGGACAAGGGGAAGGGAACAGGGGTTCAGATCCAAGGTCAATCGGACGAGTCGATGTCTCTCCCTTCGCGCCCCTGAGCGAGGCTGACCGTGGAAATATTCTTTTTTTTCTTGGCTTGTCAATATTCGCGCTGCATGGTTCATTGCCACCGCCACAGCTGTTTCATTTAGTGATACGCGGTGCATTCAGCGAGAACTGCTACCCAACACCGTCGCCGAGCATTGGGCCTGGGGGGTCTGAAGACTATTCAAATTTTATAAATTTCATGTCCATCAGGTCATGGATTATCAGCCTACATCTCAGAGCATCCCGGGAGATGATAGATCAATTTCAGGACACCATTTTCGTGCTTCGGGGACTCGTGTCTTGTCCTCCTTGTACACTCGATGGTAGCCGACGGGCCGTCCAGGGCGATCCATGTGCCACGGGAGCTGTCGGGCGAACGCAAGCGCCGTCTCGATGGAGGGCATGTTCGCATCTTTCTCGCGCATCATGACGCTCATCCAGTAATCCTCGCCGTGGCCTCCGTACTCTGTGCCTTTCGTATTCCAATCTTTCCACCAGTCGTTTCCCCCATGCAGGACTTCGAGGAGCATGGTGCGGTTGCGGAGCGACAGGCCGCCGTTGTAGACCTTCCGGGTGTCGTTGAGGGGCGCGCCGATAAAGTCGTACTGGAGGAAGTCATCGACAGTCTGAGCCGCATTGGCGCACAGAATGGCATCCGCCTGGAAGACGAGGACGTGCTTTGCAGGCGCGAGCTGCTCCCACAGCCAGGGATGGGAGAAGTAGAGATTGACACCTTTCCGCGTGGTCAGGTTGAACTCGGGCGACACGATTCGTGTTTCAATGCTGCCCGCGTCGACGGCGCGGCGCCATGTTGCTGAGGTGGATGGGGATGAAGCGTTGGGCGAGAGATGCTCATCGTACGTCGTCTGGGAGGTGAAGAAGACGATGGGCCAGGAGGGTCCGAGAACGGCGTGGTAGTACAGAATGAGAGGGATCAGATGCGGTGTGAAGAGTGTGTCGGTTATTGTTGCGACCTTGTCTTTGATGAGGATGCTGTTGAATGTCGGAACAGTCTCGTGAGATTTCCACCTGGATTGGATGGTCTCAACCAGCGCCTCTCGATATGCCAGGCCCGCGAAAATGGTAGCGATCAAGGAAACCACAGCCACGAGGGCATGGCGTGGCGGAGGCACCCGCATCGTTGACGCTCCTGTCCGAGCTTTGGACTTTCGTGTGTGATGGCGGCAAAGAGCCAGAGTGAACACATTTGACCGATTTATCAAAAAGCAGAATTTCAGAATTTGCAGAGCTGTTCTATGCCCACCTCAGGGGCACAAGCAGTCGGAATCGGTACCAGTGTGAGTGAGGCCCTGTGCCAATGGCCCGGAATGTAGAGTGTTTATCAATGGACAAGCGATGCCCCTGTAAGTCCAAACCATATATTGCTTGTTCATCGTACTTCTATGTGAAGCTGAGATGTAGCGCCCAAGTACCCTGTCAGGAACCGTTCCGGTTATGGGGCTGGCCTGCATCATGTCATGTAAGGGATGTGTAATGGCATTCGTCTCTCGTCAGCATGGTTCTCACATGTAAATTTACAAGTCATCGAAATGGCCGCTTTTGAGGTACGCTCGCATAGTGAGATAATGTACTCGTTCAATTTCGACAACTCGGCCATACCTCAAGTTATCCGTGAGATGACATCTATTCTCCTGTGCAGATAGATTCCAGATCTTTGCTTGTTTACCTCTCTAATTCGCCAGTCGAGAGGTGACCCACGTTTCCCGTTGGATGCGATAAGCTAGGTGCGACTCCTGAGATCTTTCCATTCCTTTTTCTAGGTACCCAGTGGCCAGGCCCAGCCAGGAATTCAGGGGCTTGACCCCCGCGTGTTTCTCGATCAAATCCGATCTTCATCATCATTGCAGGCCTTGCAATCCCTAGAATAAGGAGTTCTTGTTCTCGGGCGACTTTGATGTGTTCTCACATCAATCAAATTCGCCGCCTGGGTTGGCCACATGGTGAGAGCCGCACCGCAGCATCACAATGACAAGGCTTGACAAGATACCACAGCGGCTCGACGCCTGGCTTGATCCTTCCCCCAAGGGTTTCACTTCCGACATCCTGGCAAGGAAACGTTATGTGGTTTTGATCATTCCACTAGTGTTCGTTATCGTGTCGCTCATCGTGGGCTTCTCTCGTCTTCAGCTTATTGTGAGTGCCATCCGCTATCACACAATGAAACCAAAGCCAGACTGCTGATGACTTGGTCGATGTAGGATCTCTCACATTCTGTGTCACAGGAAGTGCATCAGAGGCCACCAAAAACGTCCAAGCTGCACTATCTTGTCCCTTCGAGCTTCGTCAATGATCCCGTTTGCGCAGGTATCATCTCTGCTCTTGTCAACCGTTACCCCATCCCAACTCTTATCGGGTACAAAGGCGAGAATGAATTCGACGCTGTCGACCACCTGGCCAAGGTTCGTGTCATCAACAGGTTCTTGAAAACTCTGCCTGCGGAGGATGACGACCTGGTCATCATCGTCGACAGTTTTGACGTCTTGGCCCAGCTCCCCGTCGAGGTCACGCTTGAGCGCTACTTTGCGATGTCGGCTCGTTCAGAACAACAACTGGCCGACCAGCGAGGGATCACCGTCGACGAGCTGCACGATCTCGGCATTCGTCAGTCCATCCTTTACGGCACGGGAAAGATATGTTTCGATGCAAACCCGAACGAGCCCTTGTGCCCCTTTGTGCCTGGTTCAAACTCTGCTCGACAAAAGTTCGGCGTCATGACTGGAGGATTCAGTGACCCACGCTACCGAGACTCACGGTATCTGAACTCTGGTACCATCATGGCACCTGTAGGCGATCTGCGCAAGTTCATGCATGCCGTGCAGGAGCTGGTCGAAGCTGACGACGTCATCGTTCCCCTCAATGTGACCAGTAATGGACGCTTCAGGCATCACATGGACCAGTGGTTTACCGCCACTCTTTACGTTCGCCAGGAGTACCACAGAGCTCTCGACATGAACGATGGAAATTACCCTGGTAACTTGACCGGTGTCTCTGACCTCCCGAAGCCGAGAGAGAGCGCAAACGATACGACTGAGTACCACATCTTTGTTGATTTCGACTCTTCCTTTACCCAGACGCAGTGTCACAACGAGCTCGAGATTCATCAGCTGACGTACAGCAACCACGACCTCACGTCGTCCGTTGCTAAAGACTTCATGAACGAGGGCAAGGCATTCAAACCGCATGCTATACAAATGCCAGCAAGTATTTACCAAGCCTTTGGTCGCGTCTGGGACAAGCTGTCACATGTTCCAAACATCACACTCGTTCAGCCACCGCGAGTCTGGATTCAAAGCTTAGGATTAGCGACAAACGTGGCTTCCGAGAGCATCCATGCCTTCTATCACAACACCTGCTCCAAAACAAAGTTTCTGGAGACGTATAAAACCTTTTGGTTCTTTCCGCTAGTTGTGCCGCTTCTCGAACTAGCTAAGATGGACCGAGACGACATGCGACCACTCCATTCAGGCCTGATTGATGGTCGAATGTGGATAGCCGCTCGAGATTACCCACAATCTCTCTCTGAATCTGGACAGGATGTCGAGGAAACATATCTGGGGGGCGTCTTCACGGATCTTGCTGCAGAGCCGTTTCTGAATCTGCCAACACTATGTCGTGAAAATTGGACAAACTTGATCGGCATCAAAGCTCATGGAGGGTCGAGATGATGCTCGTCAGTCCTTTTCAACCCGCAATTTTCAAGTAATGAACATGATCATTTTTTCTCTCATGTTACTCTACCTCTGAATCTGGCTGAAAGCAGCAGGTGCCTTCTTTGGACCACAGCATAAACAAAAGCCAACCTAACCCTCGGGGAAGATATGATTCGGGACCCTATTTCTCTTCGCCCATGACAGGCGAATGGAATGACTTACTGTGTAGTGCTGATAGGCAGTTCCAAGACGGATTTTGTTGAACTAAACCTGTAAACGAAGAAGACAGCCCTGTTCAATGATTTCGAGAATATGTGTTGCAAGAGCAAGGCCCAGCCAAACTCCAATGACCAAACGACCGCAGTGCCTATCCGGCGTTTGTTTCCGAGCATCCGAATACCAATGCGAAGGAGCAATCTTTCCTTAGGGCAACCCTTCCTTGCTACGCCGCAGGCGAGCGCCGGCCTGCAGGGTTGCATCCCGCCCCCGTTCGCTTTCTCAAATAGGCTGTAATCTTGGCAGTCAGCGCTGTAATGGGGGCCAGGCCCTTGCCTAATCGAGTGCAAGCTGATCAACACACTTGTCTGCCAGGCCCTATTGTGGGCCATACCAACTGAGGAAGGTTGCCACTTTGAGATGCAACCACAGGGCAGCAGGGGGCTATGTTGTTGGTGTGCTCAATATTGGCTCCAAAAACACCTCAAGGAAGGGGTGTCTGCCAACAGGTCCCATGTGTGACAGTTTGCAATAAGTGTGGACTGTTCCTGAGCCAGCGCCGGATACCCAACGAACCTTGGCCAGCCTGCATACAGCGTCAGCATCCTATTTCTGGCAAGCGGAGGCGCCGTGATGGATGTGATAGACGAGTTCCCACCGCCGGTCAGCACTACAGTTCTTGTGGTATGATTGGTGGATACACATCCTGCATGACGATGCTGACGAGTTGGGGCTCATGTCCGAAGTGCACAATCAAGAAAATTCTTAGACGTATGGGAGCAGGCAATTGCTTCACCTGATGGACCCCACGCTCCTTGCTTTCAGCTTCTATTCTATCATGGCCTTGGTGGTGTGACGGCCTCATGGGCGACTGGATAAACCCAAGACATTTCACCATCATCCCCCCTACCAGCTAACAGCGTGAAGGGTGGCAGACATTGAATGCTTCCTGCTTGAAGCGTGTGATGATTTGTATGGGCCGGATCGAGCCTCCCGAGGCCATCGTGGGGATGATCTGGGATTTGATCCTTCTCGGCAGACTGAGCTTAGACTGCCGCGAATATGGTGGTCAGCAAGATCGATAAGAATGGTGGCGACCCTGTACTGTGGATGACCCTTGGGATGTCATCTTACTCTGCTGTGTTCTGCTGGGTGCAAAGAACTTTTTTTTTTTTTTTACCAAGTATTCCGTCGGACTCGACCGTAGCCTGGCATGTCAGATATCCTCGAGGATTACCCGGAGTACGCCAAAACCTCCTCTCTCGATGCTCTCCGCGAGACACATTACGCCCACCTCGATCGACAAGGCCACACCTACCTTGATTACACAGGAGCCGGACTTTCCTCTGTGGAGCAGCACCGAGTCCACGCAACTCGTCTGGCTAGCACGTCCTTTGGAAATCCTCATTCGGAAAGTCCAACGAGCAAGGCTTCCACAGCCTTGGTTGAGAATACTCGTGCCCGTATCCTCGCTCACCTTCACGCCGACCCTGCCGACTATGTTGTTATATTCACACCAAATGCCACAGGAGCCGCTCGTCTCGTGGCCGAGGCGTACCCTTTCCGCCGACGGAGCCGCCTCGTTCTGACCTGCGATAATCATAACTCGGTCAACGGCATACGAGAGTACGCCCACCGCCGCGGGGCCAAGACTGTCTACATTCCTTGTCAGACGCCTTCCCTTCGAGTCGACACATCTTGTGTCGAGAGAGCCCTCCGGCCGCGATGGAAGGTCCCAAGAGAAAGAAAAAAGAGGGGCCTCTTTGCATATCCCGCGCAGAGCAACTTCAGTGGCGTCCAGCACCCATTAGCCTGGGTGCAGCTGGCGCAGCAGAACGGCTATGACGTCTTGCTCGATGCAGCAGCGTATCTCCCTACGAAGATGCTCGACTTGTCGGTTACCAAGCCAGAGTTCGTCATGGTGAGCTGGTACAAGGTATTTGGCTACCCAACTGGTGTTGGCTGTCTGGTCGTCAAGAAAGACGCCATGGCCCGGCTAGAGCGGCCCTGGTTCTCGGGCGGCACGGTGGCTGCGGCGTTCGTGGGGAACGGGGCGGAGTGGCATTTTCAGCAGGTTGGCGAGGCTGGATATGAAGATGGTACAGTGAATTTTCTGTCGATTCCAGACGTGGCTTTCGGCCTGAACTGGGTCACAGGCATCGGCATGGATCTCATACAGCTGCGCGTTCGGTGCCTGACAGGCTGGTTCCTGGACCGTCTGTTGGCGATGAGGCACAGTGATGGGTTGTCCATGGTGCGGTTGTATGGGCCCGACGGTCTGGAAGCAAGGGGTGGTACCATATGCTTCAACTTTGTCGACGCTGCCGGTAGCGTGGTCGACGACCGTCTCGTCGGTCTAGAAGCTGCTGTCGAGAGCATCTCGCTTCGTACGGGCTGCTTCTGCAATCCAGGGGCCGGTGCGGCAGCCTTTGGGGTAGATGGGGAGGCTCTACGACGAATCAAGAGACTTCGGCCAGGGCTTCGGCCGAAGTCTACAGATGATATGACGCGCATGCTCGGTTTGCGGACTTCAGGTGCGGTGCGGGTGTCTTTTGGGCTGGCTTCGACAATACACGATGTCGAGAAGTTTATGAGCTTTGCGGAGACGAGCTATCGGGATCGAGTCGTCACGAAAAGCCATATACCAAGGGACGGTTGTTAATCCCATGACAGCTTGATGATGATGCCACTTCCGCGTTTGGCCAGTTCAGAGGGGAATATGTGTACATCTAATATAATTCTGGTCTTGTCATCTCAGTCTTGGAACTCTGTCTACCGCAAGTTGCCACCATCATCTGTTTCTTTTGTCTATCGCTGAAACGGCGTATTGTCCTCCCCGCCACGCTCCTCAAACTCAGATGGCTCATGCTGCTGCCACGCCATTGACGTTGGTGAGATCCTTCCTCAAGATAACAAAGTAGAGGTCGTCGCGAAGCGCCTGGCCCTCAAACACATGCTCGTAGGGGAAGTCCCCCCTCTCATCGGTGCGCTCATAGCCCCTCCTGACATACCAGTCGATGAGTTCATCCCTCATCCACAAGACATACATTTCCATCTTTTCGACAGCCCACTTCTCCTTCGCATGCGCCTCGGCTCTCGCAAGAACCTGCCTCCCCAACCCACCGCCCTGTTTGTTGGGATCGACGGCGAACAGCCCAAAGTAACCGGTGCTGGGCTTGCCGTCGCCGGCGGGGCGGTGCTGGAGCTCACAGCAGGCGACGAGCTCACCCGTCGCGGCGTCGTGGGTGATGAGGACCAGGCCGTCAGGGGCATTGATCTTGGATTCAAGGTCTGCGGGGGAGATGCGTTTGTCATTGAGGTAGGCAGATTCGTTGGTCCATCCTTGGTTGCCACGGTATGCTGTGCGGATGAGAGGCAGAAGATTGGGGACGTCGGTGGTAGTAGCCTCGCGGAATGCGAGGGTTGGCTGGGCCATTTTGTGTTGATGCGAGGTGGCCTTGCTGGCGAGAGGTGGTGATATGAGATCTGAATTGGCTGGCGTTGTCCTCGGATTGCGCGACCGTCTCGAATCGTGGCGCACTTTGCGGGGTTTCTTGCCGGCTGCTGATGGAGATCCCTATTCTCATTCGAATGAAGAGCTTTTCCCTTGTTGCGTGAGCTTAATTGCTGTCAACACTGTGGTCGCACTAGTTCTTCGACTGACGACACGGGCTGTTGAGGTGGCCATGTACACTACACCAACATGGCGACGTTCCAGGGGTCTTATACTCGCAACTCCGACGTCGGTAAGCAAAGTCACCGACGCCTGAAATGTTGCGTCGGGCGACCCCGCAAGATCAACCCCGCCGCTTTCAGGCCGTTCCGTGCTGGGAGCAAACGAAAGTTCCAGGCTGGACCAGGGGCACGTTGACGAGTCAAGACTCGCCATCGCAGTAAGCTAGTGTGCCTACGACAGCGGTACCGCCCTGCGAGCACATGTCCATGGCGCCCTTGGATCTGGAACGGGCCATCGCGTCAATTCCCGATCGCGTGGTCCCGAGACAAGGGCGCAGATGGCATCAACCACGGTCCGCACGACATGTGCTGATCGATGGCCAACATATTTCACTGCATTCTTTAACCCACGTTCATAGCACAGCTTCTTAAGCTGACCGAGCTGGGGAACAAGCTGAGCTCAAACTAAAGCTTATACGGGTGGCTGTAGGGGTTCCATATCGACCACTGGGCTGGTTTCACTCATTTCTTTCGGGGTTGCTTGCGACCGCGACAACCATGACTACAACCTGCCGATGAAAGGGTCGTGATATTCACCAAGCATCGCTTTTTGGTTATTGGAGCAAGATTTCCCCTTTCCAATTCGCATTCTGAACCTGTGTACGTGACCAGCTAGAACCCCCTCATCCACAGGGCACCAAAGGGAAGTGCGGCAATCTAGCGCTAGAGTGATATTGCTCGTTTCCGATTGGCCAGAACATCAAATGGGGTCGTGGTTTAGGGGTATAATGTCCGCTTCGCATTGTCACATCAATCCTTGCGGAAGGTCCCGCGTTCGATTCGCGGCGATTCCATTCCTTTTGCTCTCATCACGATCTAACTCCTTGCTCTTCGGGTGAACACTGTCTTTCCTTTTTTTGTATGGAATCTCGTTTGGAAGAGTATCTTGACTATTCTATCCTGCTTCCGATTCCACTTGGACGATCATGTTGACCCTGATGAAGAAATAGGCTTCTACTTCTTGTTCATCGCCGTCCGTTTCCAACTGCCGTCTGGCAGGGTGAAAACCGAAAGATATTTCTCCCAGGTGATGGAATCCACCTTAAACCAACGCTTGTAGTCGCACCAGTGACAGAGGTTCTGGGTCTGCCGGCGCCCTTTCGGGGTTGCCCTCCGTAGGAACTGATCCGTGGTCTGCAAACTTTTGCAATCCGGGCACCGGTTCATATCGGCAGGACAACCTGCCTTGGGATCAACAGGCAGTTGACGGTTGGCCCGAGACAGTGCCGCCCACCTGTTCGTGCCAGCAGGGAGCGATGACGGTAGGGGAACGCCGGATGTCGGAAGAGAGCCGGGTGCCGGACGGGGACTGACCGCCAGAGGCCCCTTGGGGGGCGGCGACCCGGTGGAGCATCCTCCAGACGAGGAAGAGTGCGTTTTGCTGTCAGTAGTTGAGTTCGACATTACCGTCTTGTTTATTTCTGGAATATCGAAATTATGAGTTTTGGAAATGCTGTTACTTTGCATGATGCTGCAGGAAAGAAAACAGAAGACAGAACTAGGGGGAGGGGAGATTCTTTTATACCTTTTCTTGAAGAGGGACCAGCCTAGAACTACCATCAGTGTTTCATTTCACTGCCGTGAGAACGCCCTTTCCTGTGTAACGCAGTCTCTGAATCAGCCCATCGACCTTTCACGTAGAACCGCTACGCCTGTAGATCCTCTGCTCCCAGCCCAACGACCAAGTAATGAAAGCAAACATTAACCATGCCGGTGAATAGCATGCCTCTTCGCAGACGAAGAGATTGTAATGGAGCTTTGATTCGATTCTTGCTTTGAAGTCTTGCCGCATCACGTCCCCCTGACGTGGTGGTCCATTCTAGGAGATGAGCTGTCACCTCGCGACAACAATGGCGTTTTGCATTTGCCCGCCGGTGATGAATGTGCGTCTCTTGACTGGTAGAAAATGGTACATAGCTGTTTCACTCATGGAAATTATCTCGTTTCGCGAAACGGTGATGAAAAACGTTACGCTAGATGTGGTTCACGACTTTTCTTTTTAGCTCCAGATACTGGCGAAGACAGCACAAACAAACGTTTGCGCCATGTTGAATGGACTTGTATGATTCCCTGACAGCTTTTTACGCTTTCCGCCTGCCTCGTAAAAGGGACCACAATGCCTGGATTCAATCAGATTGGGATGACCACCTGCCCACCCCGTCGTGCATCGCCAACCACAGCACTCAGATGCTCGGTGAATATTGCCCAGAAATCTGGACATGGGTCTCGGTGAAGCAGGGATCTCCTTCTTTTCTGAACTCCGACTAGTCGGCATTAGTCGGCTTTCCGAAGGGCCCAGTTTACATAACGCGCAACTGGTACTTTCTCCATTCTAAAATGCCTCGACAAGGGCCTTGTATCAACTTAACCACCTCCAGATTGTCCCTGTGGGTACGACGCACGCCAGGTACCATACACCTGTCTTCGATATGGCTCAAGGTACTGCATCGGGTCTCCCCTGTGCCGAGAGTTGGACCCTAAGCAGCGAATCTGGCGATGAGTACTTGATACAAATTGGCTATCCTCGCAACTGGACGGCTGAATCAGCGAACTCCGATGACCACACTGTTCCGGTGATGTGAGTCAAAATTCTTCCGTTTGGAATTCTCTTTCTTACGGCCACAGTTATCTTACCGATGGAAACTCTGTCTTTCTCACAGCACTTGAAGCCCTCCACCGCTGGCTCTCCCTCCGCCCGCCCGGCGCGCCATCCAGCGGCGTTGTCGTGGCCATAGGCTACCCCCTTCATGATGACAGCCCGTTCTTGTTCAATGGCCGCCGGTCGAAGGACCTGACGCCTCCATTGCCTGGCGCTGGAGAGACAGAAGGCGGCGCCGACCAGTTCCTGGATTTCATCGAGCAGCGTGTCCGTCCATTCGTCAGCCAGAGAGTCAAAGAGAAGCAAGGAGTCTCCGTGGGGAGGGAAGCTCTATGCGGACATTCATACGGCGGACTGTTTACTCTTCATGCCCTGTTCACGCGGCCGACAACTTTTAACTACTTTCTTGTCAACAGCCCCAGCATTTGGTGGAATAAAAGAGCGATATTGAAGCATGAACCAGGATGCTACGAGAAGATAGGGGACAAGGAGACTTCGGTTATGCTTTTCGTCGGCGGCGATGAACAGGAACCACCGAGGCGGAAGGGCGAAAGTGATGAAGGCTTTGAGCAGCGCCGTGCGACCCACATCGAAAGGCGGATGGTTGACAACTTGAGGGATCTGTATGAGAGACTTAGGAAGTCTGGTAAGCTGGCACACATCTCACTATCAGTTTATGAAGGCGAAGATCATTGTACGGTGATTCCTTGCGGGGTCAGCAAGGGGGTTTGGACATTCCTGGACGACTGGCCATGTATAGACTAAGCCAGAGGCAAGCCATCTGTCAATGTTTTTCCGTGGTCTTTCATGGTAGCACCTAGCTCTTTTCTGCAGACCTTGAGTGTTTACTTCTTCTCGTCAACTGACTTGTGTTGTCCGTCTGCTCTCCTGTTTCGTTCAAGCTCTCAATGAACTGACCACCTTGAGAGCCACCATGAGAGCCAGCGATTCTCCCTTGGATTACCGTAGAATGCCGAGCACTTAATAGCGTCCTGGCAGGCAGCTTGTCAATCTTCGTCACTTGCCCGCAAATGTAGGCTCGCTGTACACGGGTAGGTTTGAATCCCAAGATCACATCGGAATTTTTTCAGCTCACATGGGCCCAAGCTGTAGCTCATATATTTGATTCCATCACCAAGAGTCGTCCGAGCAAAAGTGTGTCCAATGTACGAAGTGGCTCCTGTCCATAGTTGAGCCATTGAACGCGATGCTGCACCTCCCTGTTTCTGCATCTTCACGTCGTGTCTGAATTTAACAGCCCTCTGTATCGCGGAGATCTCCATTTCGCTTGAACTTAAACTCCTAGCATGCTCGCACATCCTTGGCATGGCGGCGAGCCTTCTTGGCCGCGTTGTATAGAGGCGGTCCAGGGATGGGGTACTCAGTCGCAGTGTAGATGTTGAATAGCACACCAGGATCCGTCTCCGTGTAGAGGCTCGTACCCGCGACGCCGCTGGGACTTGCCGAGCCGCCACCGGAAATCTCAAGATTGATGCACTGCGGGTAGAACTGGGCACCGTTTGGCTGTCCTCCTGAGTGCAGGGCGATGATTTCATGACGGAGAACGTAGCTGCCGGCGGCGATGTCGGTCGGGATCGTGACCTCCCAGACCTCACCGGCAGCGATGAGTTCGTCAGCAGCCCAGTTTGAGTTGGCGGCGTCCAGGAGACCTTGCTCGGCAATCTTGAAGAAGCGAAGCGCTGTCTTGTCAACGGTCGTGCAGTCACCGTTGCAGTTGGCAAGGTAGTCTATGATGGGTCCCTTGTGCGACTCAGGCCAGGGAGACCATTTCAGGGTCAGGGTATCGCCGGCTGCTACAGGAATGTGCGAGCCTCCGTTGGTAGCGGATCGGTGGCAGATGATGTCTGGATCTCCGGTGGCCGCAGGCTCAACGAAGCCAAGATCAGGGAAGTCCGCGGTCCATCCGGGAACGATTGGAGGCGAGGGGTTGTAGGGGAAAGTAGACGGGTTGTAGTTATCGTATGTCTTGCCATTGACGGTGATGGTTTCAACAAAGCCGTGCGCCGCGGCGGACACAGCACCAAGCACAACAGCGAACAGAGCCTTCTGAGCCATATCTGCGACTTGGACTGTTTTTTTGATGGCAATGGAGATTTTTTAAACGTAAAGGAATCAGGCGCAAAATGAAGAGAGTGAGGAAGTGTGAAACGCGAGCGCCTTGTTGAGAAATGTACCGAGCTGGAAGCAAGCCATCAACCTCCATCTTATACCTTTCAGTCGTCTGCGCGTGAGACGCGTTCGCCGCTTTCGATTTTCATCTAGCCATTATTATTTTCCTTTTTGGTGTGATTAGCTTGTCCCCGATCACGTCTGCGATGCGATGGCTATACGTGGTGACTACCAAGACTGATCGGCACGACAAATCGGAGCCTCACCATCCGCCAAACACCACTGCGCTCAACCCAGTCCCTCTTCCCCGTAAATATCTCAAGACGCACAACACGGCAATCTACCTCGGACGGGCAGGATCGGCGTCGCGCCGGCCTCGGTCCAATGATATGCACCGTCAGGCGGCTGACACGCACCGGGAACCGCATGACAGCTCACCCTGTGGCCGAAAGACAACCCGGGCTCCTTGCACTTCATGCCGTTGAATGCCGATCTTGCATCTCTTTGCTTCGGAGCTTTCTTGCGGTTCCGGTGGTCGGTCCGTCACACGAGCCAACCTCCTGAGGGCGTAACCGCTGACCCAAAAAGCGGTCATGGGGTTTGAGTACCGCCAAGCAAGGCCTCCGATAAACGACTTGATCGAAAGTTGCGTTGAATGCGGCACAGAGCGCGGTGCAATAGTGCCACGCGTATCTGTCGATTACAAATACCATGGTGGTTCGCGACAGGTCTGATCATCTATACCAAACAGTCAGGTCCGAGATGAGTGTTGGCAGGTCGATATGCGTCTCACTCGGACTTCCCGCGTTGCGGCAGTTCCGCTAGGCCGGATCAAAAATTCTAGCAGTGCTCACATGGGAGATCAACGAAGAGAAGACTGAACCAACTTTTTCGATACTCTCTCTGAAAGTTTAGCAAGATTGTGTAAATGACAGCCGAGCAGCAGCCATGCTTACTCACCTGTTCCCTTCCTCAAGACACGTCAACATGAATTTGGCAGCGAGCAAAGTAAGATGGTTCCAGTCATTATTCAGCTGCAAACTACCAGATCCATTCCAGACCAGACAAAAGCAGCATGTTGGCCCCTTGGGCCAGCATAAACGTATCCTGCGTCAGATAGGTCGTCACTTCATATAACACAGATCCCCGAAAGTGGGACTGCCAAGCTGGTTGAGATTATCCTCGACGGAGCGATAGGCTTCGTCACCATTAAACGGGCCGCCTGCCGTCGGAATGCGAGGGCCCCATAATATTCACAAAAGACGGCTGCGGCTGAGCTCCTCCCTGTCTCAGTGAACGTGGCATCCTGGCATCAAAACTGCCGTGTCGAACCACGGCGCCGTAATCGTAAATGGGACCTTCCTCCAACCAGCCCGTGCCCTTAGCCTTCCATCATATAAGCAGGTAGCCTTAGTCACTCGTTCATTCTAGTACTGCCTCCTCACTCCTTTTGAGCAAAGAAATGAGTCCAAGGAATCTGGATATTCTCGGCGCTGTTGTTTTGAATCTGCGTGTCCCAGGAGGACTGTTTGCCTTGTTAGTCGAACGATCCTACGCAGCCCAGACGCGGCCCGTGTCAAGCATCGCAACTCACCCAGTCTATATCGCTACCCATGCCTGGATCGCCGACAGACTCAAATTGTAGGCCATGCGCAGATTGGAATCCGGGTTGTGCCGTCCAAGCGATTGTTTGCGTCGCGTGAGCCCCTTCTAATGAACCAACCGGGTAGGGCAGCACAGTAGTTGGCCCCCAAGATGAGCTGGGGTGCTGCTCTGATGCGAAGGCTCGAACTCCTGTTTGACAACATGACTTGTCAGTGTCGTGTCAAGAGTTGCTCGTCTGCGGCATACTTACCAGAGGCGAACTGATAGGAAGGCCGTTGGTTCAGATCCACTCCTCCAGGCTGTGCGTTCCCATCGGCAGCCGAGTCTGGGCTGCTTTCGTACTGCGTGCCCGTGGAAATGGTCAGCATCCGAGATATGATCTTGAATGCGCGGCTTGCCTCGGCCGATTGAGTTCGCATCGAGCCCCAGATTCCACGTGAGGTACGGAGTATGTGTAGCAGCCTGTCCTTCTCGATGGGCTCTGCCGCAACCGCTGCGGCGCTGGGAGTCGACGCTCGCAGCAGGAATGATAACTCGAGGCACAGCATCATGTTCGCCAGAAGAAAATCGTGCGTGCTCAGGCTCGACAAGAACCATCTCTCTTTGGAAAGGCGACCCCCAGGCTGTATCTCGGTGTTCACGTCAAATTGATACTCGAGGGTCTTGGTAGCAGCGTCAATACAGTTGAACCGAGAGGGAGCGTAGCGTTGGTCGTTGCGTCCCAGAGCGAAGTAGCGACGGTGCAGAACGACACGCGCTTTGAGGTACATTAGTTCAATCCACAGCCTTTGCATGATGAGGTCAATCGGGTCGCCGATCGAAAGGCTGAAGGATCGCGCTCGGAGGACGGGGGGGATGTCCTCGTGGGCCTTCTCCAATTGATCATTGAGGCGCAGGACTTCTCCGTAGGTTGGGCTGTCTCTGTCGGCCATTCTGGCGAGGATATCGCCAAAGGCAACAACGAGCCTTGACTTCACGATTGTATATAAGGCAGGGGTTCTCTCGGTGAAGGGCCGCTCCAGCGGCAGCTCCGTCGTGGTATCGTCAAAGTCCTCGTCATACAGGTTGTGGGGCAGTCCGGTGTCGAAGTACCTGTGTTGTACGTTACCAGGCAAGCCGAACTGGAAGGCCACCAGCACATCAATCTCGACGAGAATAGTCCACAGCCTCTTTCGCATCTCGTGCTCAAATACAGTAAGCCCTTGGAAGTGCTTGGGGTCCCGATGCAAGCCAGAGTGCATGGCCAATCTGACAATGATGGCCATCATGATGGACGTGCCTCGCTGAGCATCGCTCAATCGGAGGTATTCGGTACCAAAGTAGAGGATCAGTGCTTCAACTTTATACTTCCCGGGTTTAGTGTAGTCATCGAGGGCGAGACACTGCGCGGATCTGATTCGATAGAGATCGAGGACATACTGTGGGGGTCCGATATTGCCAGGAACCTCTTCATCGCCCCGAAGACAGAAGAAGGCGGCGTGGCTGATCATGATGCACAGAAGACCAATCCAAGTGATAGAATAATCGTGAGGACGCTCCCAGAAAGCAGCATACTACTTCAAGTCAGCGAGAAACATCACATGGGAAGTATCACATGACGGGCCTCTCTGAGAAATGCAGGCACATGAAACATGGCTGAAGGATGTCAGCTAATCGCCCTTGCCATGGGGGTGTGTTAGTCGTACACCATGCCGGCTCCTTGCCCTTGAAGAACCGAGCAATGAGACGGTCGGTGATGTCTTTTTGCGGAAGATAATCCATGAGGTCTTGCGTGGTTGCTGGAGGGAAGGTCCCCAACAGCAAGACCGGCCCCTCGGTGCTCGCGAATGATGAGTCGAGATCGTCCGTATCGTCATCTTCCCTCTCCCCGTGCCCAGTGTCGGTCGTCTTGAGCTCGTCGGTGAGCCTGGTAACCTACACGAGACTTAGTATCTGTAAACACTCGGAAGACCAAGACCATGGTCACCACACACATCATCGAGAATGGCTTCCCAGTTGGCCGAGTCCACGTAGCGCAGTTTGTCAACCATTGGTCCAGCGGGGGTTGGTTCCTTGATGCCGCTCAGATCACTCGGCGTCTCAGGCAAGCGCGTTTGGCCGTACAAACCACCACCCTTTTGGCCGAAAACATCATCCATAACGATGCCGCGCTCAGCGAGTTTTGCTCGCACATCGCTCAAGACATCTTCAAGATGCTTGAGCTTAGTTTGCAGAGTGGGCGTGTCAGTAAGCCCCTGGCGCTGACTGGCCGCTTGAGGGACCGGGGCCGGTTGCCTCGTGGCTGTGCGCGGATACAGGTACGGCACATAGTCGCATGAGGCGACAATATCGCGCTTGATGCATTGATCGCAAGGCGACGCTCGATTGCACTTGAGCCTGATATCTCATGTCAGCATTGATATCTTGACCAGAAGATATGAGGATATGCGGTCTTATGCTGACTTTTTCTCGCGGCAGTGGCTGCAGGAGAATCTGATTCGATTGCGCTTTCGATGTCCTTCAGCTGCGGTAGACGGTTTGATGTCGGCACGCCCAGCAGACGGCTCTTGTGCTGCGGCGGAACCTGGAGGCTCTGCCATTTAATACCGATATCCCAACGGAACAACAGTAACCGGATATTAGTCGAGCTCCTCTGGACGTCTGGACTGGTTAGCACGAGGCTGAGGACGTCGATCGACTTGAGCGCGACGAACAAGTGCCCTGCGGGGTCGCGGGCGATAAACTGAGGTCGAAGCGCGGGGCAGGTCGCATGCCTAACTAAGGTACCTAAGGTAAGCACAGTCTACTGTGCTGTCTGTAGTGGAACGAATTCAACAAGATGACTGGTCCTGAACCGGAGCCACTCGATGTTAACCTTTCCTGCTCAGAGCTCCATTGCCCAGCATCAAATTCGTTTTGGAGGGCACACACAAGTCGACAGCGGCGTTATGCATGAGTGGGACGATGATTTCGCATTCGCCGCAAGCTATTGAGCGACTCGGATGTGGGCGCCGTGCAGCCCAACTTACCTCAGGGCGCCACGTGGGTGAGGAGCCAGCGAATCGCGCAATGGACGCTCGTCGCCTTGCCCACGGACGCTGCAGAGTCATCCTGTGTCACTTGAAGCACAGAGTGTCGCCCTTCTTTGGCAATCTGGAGGCATGTCAAGCCTGTCGTTGGGGCATGACGGAGGCCATCCAGGTTATATAGGTCGTCGGGATCCCAAGCCCGGATTTATGGCACCATGTCCACGGCTCCCATCGCGTCTGTACCGCCGGATTTTCGATTGGAAGCGAGAACACTGACAGATAACTCCGGCGCTCGCAACTCTAAAACCCCAGATGACTGGCCAATCTTGTCTGGCCCCGGTCTTAGGCCCCGGGATTGTCAAACGGAGCTGGCCCCGACCCTGCGTGCGAGAATCTCCACAGGTCTTGGCTGGCTGGAGGACGACAGTGAAGATGTGTGAGCCGTCTGGTTGGGTTTTGCGTGGTGTTCAATCCTATGGAAGACGACACCTGCTTTGGAGGTGACCTTCGAGCCTTGGTCAGCTCTGGCGTGACCACCATGTTTGATGGAAGTTTTCGTGCATTGGTAGATACCGATGCCCGGATTGTTTGACCATTTCATGCTGGCTGAGGCCTCCATCGGTTTGGAGTCTCAGCGACGCCATGGTTGGCGACACAACTGGTTGCTGATCCAGATGGTCAACCCAATACCTGAACCTAAGGCGGAAGAGAAGCGTGCCGAGAATAGTCTAGGGCGAAAAGGTACGTACTCGAGAGCCTGCCACCAAGAACCGGGAGCCATCATGAACGAAAATGACGTCGTGAGCCTCTCGCCCTCCCGTGTCACCATGCCGCGCTGTCACGATTGACCATTCCACACCTCCCTTCTCGACGTACGTCGCATCACTGAGCTCACCACGCCTTCGTCTGGATCGCCAACCATGGCTGACATGCAGCCGTCACGTCAGTATGCTCGATCCCGAGTACCGCTCTTCGTGCGGAGATACGCGAACGACATTGGACGCTGTGCGCGCGCAGCTTCATTCCCCCTACGCGGCATTTGGTACTTTCTGCGCAACAAGGAATTCTACCCATTGTTCCTCAGCCGCTTACTGCCTCTCTCCATCATCTCTGTTCTTGTCTATGTCATTCTCTTCACCTTTACCTTCCTACCACAACTCGCCCTCCTCGCCATTTTCCAGGGCAGAAGCGCCTGGCTCAATGCCACGATCCTGGTGCTTGGAGAAGGTCTCGTCGTAATCCAAGGACTCTTTGAGGGCTTCTTCGTCGATGAGGCTCGTGTTGATGTGTTCGACGTGAGTATCTGTCCCTCTGACTACCCCAAGTCATGTTCTAACCTCTCGATTCAGGCTACTCTGATCAAGTACTCGCACACCGACCTCGTTTCTCCTCATCGAATCCTATTTCCTGATGCGCCGACCGCCATAAAGATGCTGGGGAAACCCACCAGTTCCGCCATCTACACACCATGGAGCATGATCCAGATCATCGAGGTCATCGTGTTCCTGCCTCTGAACTTCATTCCCATTTTCGGCGCACCTGCCTTTATCATCATCACTGGAACGCGCCTCGGCAAGCTTGCACATTACCGCTGGTTTCAGCTGCGGGGCCTCAGCAAAAAAGAGATGAAGCAAGAGATCAGCTCGAGAGTTTGGGAGTACGTGTGGTTTGGGACTGTGGCCATGATCTTGGAGCTCATCCCCGTCTTCTCGTTTTTCTTCTTGCTCACAACAAGCGCGGGCTCTGCCATGTGGGCGGCGCGGATCGAGGACGAGAAGAGGCGGTTGGCCGTTGGTGATTTGGTAGGTGACGGCGGCCCGTCCGCTTCTTCGCCGTCGCAAGCAGTGTCACCACCAGCCTACGAGGATGATCCCGTGTAGTCTCCAAGGCAACAACCACTGGGCAGATTGGCTTTGATCGAAACATCCATACTCTACTCATGATTGCGCTTTCGGCTGTACATCGATCTAGCGGGACTCATCCACACGCAATTGGCGCTGGACCATTTGAGGGACAGAGGTGACGGGCTCGGATTGTAGTCACTACGACCGCCGATACTTGGCATGCCCTCTCCAGGGCCCAATACTCTCTTCACCACGTTACAGGCCTACCAACGCACGCTGCGTGAATGGGAGGGCGCCTGAGTGAGGCTGTCTTCCACAGGTTATCGTTGGTCCTGCGCTCAACAAATTGGTCATGATTGAGTTTCAAATTATCCACCACGCGGCAGGTGCTATACTTAAGCATGCCTTCGAATAGGGAAGGAGAGACCTCGGTCAAAGCCACCTGAGCGGCAAGAGCAGTGGTCTACCCCTAGGAACCGCCGAATCCGGGGCTGCATTTTGGAAGGCGCGTCTGCACAATGCCATTTGGTTGGCAAGAAAGCATGAACAGCAACGCAGAGGAATCTACTTCCTGCCTTTAATGCCATCAAGTCCCGTGGCGACAAATCACGAGGACAGAAGCGCATGTTTATGGCCATCAAATGCCGACCTCATACAGCGACTGCTGCTTGTCAACGCTCTGCCGAACATATCACATGAAACCCCAGTAAACAATTCAAAACTTGTTTGTATTCCATGCTGTTGCTGATGTGATAGTCATGATGAACATGGAAGTCTGTGATCTGCGGCATTTCCCCTTTCCCTCTCCCGTGCCTGGTGCCGGTGCCCCTGACAATCCTGGACATGAGGTGGTTCCTTCCCTCATCAGAGTGCGTTGGAGAGAACCCAAGAACATCAACGCGGCAGGAACGATGCTGCCGCCCCGCGTGCTTCACCATGGTCGTAGGGTCCTCCTTCCTTCGGATCGTGACATGTGAGTGCTGTTGCCCACAACCTCCCTCATCCTCGCACAGATCTCTCTCAACAAATTCTTCTCCCTTCTCCATCCCCATCTCTCATCCCCTCCATTTCCCTCCCCTCTCGCTCCCCCTCACGGATCACTTCTTCGTCTTCTCTTCGTTTGTCGTTACAGTTGTCCGTCCACTTCAACGTCAGTCATTCTTTTCCCGTATTGGGGGTTCAGATTCTGCTTCGTTCGTTGTTTCAACGTTGTAGCGGCCTTCCAATCCAACGGTCGTCTTGGGCAGCCCACATCACATACTCAAGCTCCCGAGGCCCTTGCATCGTCACCGGCATTGAGTCTCACGACGGCTGAGATGCGTATTCACGCTCTTTTCGGCGTCCTGGCCTTTGGCCTCCTCGGCTTGACGTCGGTCGAGGCTTTCCCTCCGTAAGTCTCATCCTCGGACGATGAAAGAGATCGTCGGCGTACTCGTCGCTCTGATGGCTCACTGACCCAAACAGCGACGACGGTTACGGAGACGGCACTTGTGCCCCTACGGCTACCACCACTGTCTTTGTCACCGTTCCTGCCACCAACGCCGCTTCTCCTCCCTTTGTGGCTGGTCCTCAGACTGTCACCGTCACTATTCCTGCTTCTGACAATGGAGCTCCTGAAAACCCTCTTTCTCCCGTCTATACAGTTACCGTCCAGACCTTTGGTCCTGGTGAGAGCTCTCCCTACAATGGCCCACGTCCCTGGGAATCCCGCTTGACAGCTACTGGGGTTGCTACCCGCACTGTTACCCTACCTGCTCCGGACGCTGTGCCCTCTGCCCCAACTGGTGGCAATGATTCTCCTGGTACAAACTCCCCTGGCCCTGACGACAACACTGGTACCCCTGGCACGCCTGGCCCGGGAAGCCCCGGCACCGATGGTGGAAATGGCTCCCCTGCGCCAGATGGTGCCTCTGACAACCCTGGTTCATCTGGTGGCTCACCTGCAGATGGTTCTCAGTCCGACCCTGACTGTGTCACTGTCATCACCACTACCTTGTACAGAACAGAGACCGGCACCGGCAATGGTTCGCCCACCGTGGACACTGTCGTCGCTACCCTCACATTTACCTATCCCCATGACGCAGATGGATCCAACAATGATGGTTCGGGCACAGTTGCCACGAATGCTCCCGACGATGGGCAATTGCAGCCATCGATCATTACCAGGACCGTTTATCAACCTGCTATAGGACCAGGTCAGCCTTCGCCATCTCCAAGCTTGGTCGTCGAGACCATCACCATTCAAGCACAAGACCCGAATGCAGCTGGCAGCAACGGCCCAGGCGTCACTGCTGTACCTGGCATCCCTGGTGACGGCAACAGTGGCCCGTTTTCTGTCATTACTACAACTCTTTATCACGCAAGGACGATTCCCGGGCAGGCTGTTGTTACCACTGACACCATCGTTGCCAGCTTCACAATTGCTTTCCCTCCGACGTCTCCCACCAACTCTGGCAACGATGGCTCATCCGGTTCCCCCGCAGGCACCGATGGCAGTGTCACTTTCATCACTACTACTTGGTACGAGACCACCACGTGTCTGGATTCGTTGGGTAACCCCACACCTACTGTCGTGACGCATGCCACTACCATCGCGAGCGTGCTCCCTCTCCAGGCTTCCAACATGCCGGATGCTGGCGTCGGTTCACAGGCCTCAGGAGATCATGGCGATCTTGTCACCGTCATCACCGAAACTGTCTATCGTCCCGTCCCGACACTTGGCCCCAATGGCCAAGATTCTCCTCTCGTTGATACCATCGTCGCTACAATCACTGCCACATTCCCGGGCGATGCCATGGATGATGGCTCAACAGGTGCTGACATCGTCACGGTCATCGTTACGACGCTCTATGTCACCGCGACCTCACCAGCAGGCTCTTCTGGCGGCGAGCTCACCTCCTCCAATGGTGCCGTTGTTCAGACATTGACCGTGACAATCCTAAGTCCGCCACCTGTCCCAGGTGGTTCCTTGACAGGCACTCCCGTGGCAACTCCCGGATCAGGCAATAGCTTTGGGCCAGACAATGTCATCACTACATCACTGTATCGTACGGCCACGTACATCGGTCCTGACGGCCAGGCTACAGTCACAACCGAAACATACGTCGCAACAATCACCGCCGGCACTTCGCCTTTTGGTCCCTACCTTCCTACTGGTGTTCCCAATGGTGCTCCAGGTAACAGCAACCCCCAAGTCACTGTCGTGACACAAACACTTTATCCAACAGGCTCTATCCCTGACAACTATGGTGGACCCGGCTCCCCAAATGTTGACTCTGGTTCTCCCGGTTCAGGTGTCCCCGGCTCAGGTGTCCCCGGCTCAGGTGTCCCCGGCTCAGGTGTCCCGGGTCCCGGGGTCCCGGGTTTCTCTGATGGCTCTTCTCCCTCTGTTGTCGTGTACACAACGACACTCCTCCCAAGCGGCCTGGTTCCAAATGATCCATTTGGCAATGGCGCTAGTACCGTTATCACTGTTACCTTCCCCAATCCCACGGCAACTGGGCCCAATGACAGTATTGTGCAGACCCTGACTTACATTTTTCCACCAGCCACGCCAGGTGCCGGGGGTGGACTGCCCAGCACACCAACAAATCTTCCTGGTGGTCTTGGATCTCCAGGCCAGGTTTCTCCAGTTGGCTACAATTCCGACCTCACAGCCGGAACTGCAATTCCATTACCGCCCGACGGTGGCGCTGGCGAAATATCGGGCACACTCTATCTTACCAGCACTTTCGTCGTGACTCAGACCATCCCAGCTGCCTATAACAATGGCAACAGCGTCGTGACATACCTCTCTGTTGCCACAGTCGGCACTGCATTGCCTTCCGTTGCTTCTGGTGCCGGTGGTGTGTTCGGGCAGCCAGGGCAACTCCAGCCCCCTGTGCCCGGAGGTCAATCTGGAAGTGGTCAAGTTCAACCACCTGCCTCGGGCGCCGGCCAATCCGGCACTGGTCAACCTGGGACTGGACTGCCTGGCAATGGTCAACCTGGCACCGGACTGCCTGGCACCGGACTGCCTGGCGCTGGACAGCCTGGTACCGGACAACCTGGCATCGGTCAACCCGGTACTGGTCAATCACAACCACTTGTTCCTGGCACCGGACAGCCCGGGGCTGCGCAACCACAGCCACTTGTTTCCGGGAGTTCCTCTCCTGCGTCAGCGCCTTGTACTTCTGGTCTGCAAACAGGAATCGGAGGTCTCTCAGGAACTGTTGCTCCTGCTCAGCCATTGCTACCATCAGGTGAGGCCACACTGCCTGGTGGTTATGGATTCACTCAACCCCCAATGCAGCCTCCTGCTGGCGTGCCCACTCCCGCTCAGCCCGTCAACAACCCACTGCTTTCAATCTCGGGAGCTCTCCCCCTCATTGGAACCCAGTCACTTAATCCTCTTCTTCCTACCGGTGTTCCGCAGCCGCCTTCTGGTATTCCCCCAGCCGCGGGAAACCCCGCCCAACAAGTTCCCGGTGCTGCTGCTGAACACAACAGCAAGGATTGTTCCACCACTCTGCGAACCTTGATCGTCACCTCTGTCCAGACCAGCACATTCTTCAATATCGTGCCTGAACTCACCACGACTTATACCTTCCCGTATCAAGCACTCGTCACAGTCGAAAGCACCATTGTGACAGCAGAGTCGGCCCCAACTCTTTTGAAGAAATTCAGGCGCCAGCACGACGAACCCCTTGTCTTCGCAAACACAACTCAAGGAGGCCACCCAGCGTCTTTCGCGCCCCCTGTCGATGCCACTCTAATTACGATCCAGCCTGTGGTGATCCCAACTGCTCTGAGGCGTTTCAAGCGACATGTTGACATCAAACCGGCCTTTGCCAACACTACCACAACTGCCTCCAGACCCACTGCCATTACTGGGGAGCCGACATTATCAACTCTTTTTCCAAAACCAAGTCATGGCAACTCCACCTTCATTTCGACTTCATCGCTTCCGGCTTTGTCTGGAACCACTGTGCAGCAATCTACTGCGTCTCCTGTTCGCGATCATACCAGCAGTAGTCTCTCATCAAGATTGTCCGACACGCCAAGCAACATCTTGACGGCATCCGCCACCATACCTGTTCAAGTTCCAATCTGCACGGGAGCAAAGGAAGTCGGTAACCAGGTGCTTGATGTAAGTCAACTCGCATTTTCCGTCCCGTATTTTCATGTTTGCTCACGTGCCCGGTCCTCCAGTTTGATGAGCTGCCCGTCGGCCCGCTCTACAACCCGTACAGTCGCTTCTGGTTCTCCACTGGATTCCTCATCGCGCCTCCGCCGTCAGTGCCATATACCCCTTCGTCTGGAGGCCGACTTCTCGAATTTGTGCCTCCAGTGCTTACGAACGGCACGCTTGATACCTCGCAGTTCGGGGCTGGCATTGATGCAGCTTCGAATTGTTTCCGATTCAATTTCTTCGGCGCCAATCTTGGCTGCGATGCCCATGGGGAGAATCAATTCTGCGAGTTCACCTTCACCGGCTACCGCTTCAACTCGACCCTCAATGCTGAGGCCGAAGTCTTGTCACAAGTCACATGGGTGCCATCATGCCCCACGCTCAAGGAATGCAATCTGACACCGTTCTTGGTTGAGGGATTCAACAACCTTTCATCTGTTCTTGTCACTCTTCGGGTTGACGGCAAGCCTCGCCCTTGGTGGGCGGATGACCTCAAGGTTGGCTGGACTGACAACAGTTGCGATGCGGCCCGGTGCCGCGCTGGCACACCACACCACACAGCCACCAAGCGTGGTAAAGAAGGCGAACCCGTGTGGTACTGGACTCCTGGCGGTCTGCGCCGGCTCGGGTCCCGCTTCATGAAGTTCAGGGGTTGAAATGGCACAGTTGGCGCCTCGCCAGCGACTTGTTAGGCTGCATGAGGATGCGGCTGCCTCGCATATGAATCGTCAAGTGAAAGGGAAGGCGTGTTGAGATGGTTGTCGATTACTCGAGACGTTTGCTTTGTTACGATGTTACGATATATGGCATGCGTTTTTTGGGCTGGGGGTTAATGGTGGATTGGCCTTCTGGGCGGCGTTGTGTCTCATGGCTGATGTAATAGGGAAGACTAAAGCGCAGAGTACATGGCGTGGTCAATGGGCAGATTGTACCTTGTTAGAAATACTTACGAGTCCAGTGGATTGGTTCTTGGTGCACAGCGAAGCCGCCCATGGGCACTTCAGCCATGGGCGGCCACAAGTGTCATGTGACGGTCGGGATTTGAAAGGGTATTCGGGTTCGGCTTGCCAATCGACTGGCCGTGCGAGATCGGAGAGTTGAAGACAGGGCCGGCGGCCAGAGTGCAACGCTACGTGGTCGGCGGTTGTAACGGAGTTGGCCGGGGCCTTGACAATCGACGCTACTTCAGTGGTTGAACGGGCGAAGGACGGGATTAAGGCGGGGGCACGTCACAGGGCGCTCTTCAAAATCTGGGGCTGCGTTTGTCATCCATACGATCACTGGGCTTGTCTAGGGGGTTGATGACTCGATTGGGAAGCTTGCCTGCCAGGTCTACCTGGGCAAGTCAGTACCCTAGAGTAAGATGGGTAGGCATGGCTAGTTTAAATACAGATAGAGGGGCCCACTGCTGGTGTTGTCATCGCTGTGGTCTGGGAGATCATCTTCAAGTCGACCTGTATTGATCGGACCATCCATCGGTGGCGTCTACAATTGACGTCCAGGGCCATCTTTATTTTCTACGACAGTGTCATTGAATAGCGGGACGAGCCTGTTTTTTTTTGGTGCCGAGAGTATCACGTCACACTGGCAACCTGTATTGAACCTCGGCGACGATGGTGGACGCAACAACGTCGTCGGAGCCGTCCAGCGATATCGAGAAGCTGGAGCACTTCCCGACAGATGGTTCAGATTCAGAAGCCAGGCAGATCAAGACGGAGAGAGAGAGAACAGACGCATCCAGCAATGCCACTAGTGATGGAGAAGGAGAGGTTGACCAGCGTGATGACGATGAGAACCAGCCAACGACCAGCATCGCGAGCCGTGTCCTCAGTCGGATGACTTCACGCTCAAGCGTTGCGCCAGGGCCGCCACCTGATGGAGGGTTTACCGCATGGATGTGTGGTAGGTGACACCGTTCCCCTGCCAAACTACTTGCAGCAGATCCTAACGATCGTGTCTTTCCGCAGTTCTCAGTGGACATCTCGTCATCATGAATACTTGGTATGATGCTCTCCCTTCTTCCCTCGGTCTTATTCGCCATACCACGAGAAGGTTCAACTGACTGACCTCGATCTAGGGGTGTCATCAACTCTTTTGGTGTATTTCAACCGCACTACACGTCGACTCTGAACCGTGCGCCGTCTGACATCTCTTGGATCGGCTCATTCGAGATCTTCCTGCTCTTCTTCATCGGCACCTTTACCGGCCGCTTGACCGATGCGGGATTCTTCCGCCTCCTTTTCGCCACGGGCTCCGTGCTCGTGGTGGCCGGCACCTTTGCCACGTCGTTCTGCACACAGTACTGGCAGTTCTTCCTGGCGCAGGGCGTCTGCATGGGCCTCGGCAATGGATTCTTGTTCTGCCCGTGCCTGTCTCTGCTTGCGACGTACTTTCAGAAGAGGCGAGCGCTGGCGATCGGCATCTCGGCATGCGGCAGCGCGACGGGCGGCCTGGTGTTTCCCAGCATCGTCAGGGAACTGCTGCCGCGGATCGGGTTCGGCTGGACGATGCGGGTCATTGGGTTCATCCAGCTGGCCACCATGCTCGTGAGCTTCTTCTTCCTCAAACCGAGGATCGCTCCGCGCAAGGCCGGCCAGCTGGTGGAGTGGGCGGCCTTCGCGGAGCTCGAGTACACGTTCTACGCCTTGGGGTCCTTCCTGGTGAGTTTCCTTTCCCCCTTCCGCAGACTCGCCTCTCGGGCCTACTCACGCATCACACGGCAGTGCTTCATGGGGGTCTACTTTGCCTTCTTCTACCTCGCCTCCTACTCGCGCGACGTGGAGGGCCTGTCCTACCTCAACTCGCTCAACCTCCTCCTGCTCCTCAACGGCATCGGCGTCATCGGCCGGCTGCTGCCCAACTACGTCGCCGACACGCTCGGCACCCTCAACATGTTCATCCCCATGGCCGGCATCAGCTCGCTGCTGGCCTTCTCGTGGATGGCCGTGTCGTCCGAGCCGGGCCTCTACGCCTGGGTCGTCTTCTACGGCATCGCCGCCGGCGGCATCCAGAGCCTGTTCCCCGCCGGGCTGAGCGCGCTGACGTCGGACCCGCGCAAGCAGGGCACGCGCATGGGCATGGTCTTTACGATTGTGAGCTTCGCCGTGCTGACGGGGCCGCCCATCGCGGGGGCCGTCATCGACGCCACGGGCGGGCGGTACGTCGGCGCGCAGGCCTTTGCGGGGAGCTGCATGGCCCTCGGCATGGGGGGGTTGCTGGCGGCCCGGGAGGTCAAGAGACGGAAACTCGGCAAGGGCGTTTGGGCCAAGGTGTGAGTGAAGGGCACGCCCGTACGGACCGCGTTCGAGAGGAAGAAGCGAAAAAACGAATACACTGTTCGTCTGCTCGAAGAGAAAGAAGCAGGCGCTGTATGCATAGTGCCAACCGCGGAGCATGCAGCTCCAACGCTACCTGATATGTGCGGACATGCCAGGTTCGGGGGACGTGGGTGGGTGGAGTGCGGGCTCTTCCTAGCCACACTTGCATTCGATTCTTCGATGGGCGTGGTTTGGAGAGCGCCCATTCCTGAAGAACCAACGCGTTTGGTTGCAGAGTTGCTCTTTATCGATGACCGGGACTCGAGGCTTTTTGCCTGCTTGCTGATCCCACGCCTGCACGCGACAGCACTACGCAACGGCGCTTGCCATGCGTTGTCTTGTAAAGTTCCCTTGCGAAGCGGCCGTTTGCCGTACTGTTCCAGGAAAGGGGGGCTCCTGGAGTATCAACACGCCAGTGGACGGACCATAAGTTGAAATGCAATGCATAGCGTGTCATTTCACACAGACACATGGCCAAGACTTCGTTGACAACAGTTTGCTATAACTACATCGTCACATCATCACTCATCAGCCGCCCATACACCAACAGTCCCGTGTTCTACACCTCGCTCACCCAACCCTCCGATACACTCCCAATCTCATTCGCAAGCCAACATGTAATCTAGATGATGTCGTGGTCGCATGCCTTCATGCTCTCCAGGTGCACATGCAGACCCTCGTCGCGAATCTCCCTCATGGCCGCAAACGACGTAGAGTTGACCAGCGTCTTGGGCACAAGCTCGACGCCGTCCGTCGCCAGAACGCTGATGACGTGGGCCGCGGCCTTGGCGTTGGTGAAGAGCGTCTCAGGGTTGGGGTTGTCAATGTTGTCGCACGCCTGGTGGTAGCAGGCGTCCTGCTCGGCACCCGTACCCGTGAAGAGGCCGCCAACGGGCTTCTTGATGACCTGCTGGAAGGGAACGTAATCGGTGCCGCCCGTGAGACCGACGGGGCGCGTCTCGACACCCTCCGACTCAAAGTGGTCGAGGAAGAGCTTCTCGATGGCCTCCGAGCCGGGGGCGCCGCCGGGACCGACATCGGCACCGTCGCCGTCAAAGACGCCAAAGAAGCCGCGCGAGACCATGTCAAAGTTGACGTAGAGAAGCAGGTTATCGACCTCGGCCGAAGTCATGTTGTTCACGTAGAACTTGCTGCCCCAGAGGCCGTTCTCCTCGGCACCCCACCACGCGAACCGCACCTTGAGATTGGTCGAGAAGCGCGACAGGGCCTTGGCGAGCTCGAGAATGAGGGTCGTGCCGGAGCCGTCATCGTTGATGCCGGGCCCGGCTTGGACAGAGTCGAGATGCGCGCCGACCATGACGACGTTGCTCGCGTCGCCACCCTTGGTCTCGGCAATGACGTTCTGCGTGATGCGCTCTTCAATGAGCTGCGTGATCTGGAAGTGCGCCGTGACAGCCTCGCCCGCGTCGAGGCGCGCTTTGATGGCACGGCCAGGGCCCTGGTCAATCAACAGGGCCGGAACGTACTCGACGGGGTTGGGCAGCGAGAGTGAGCCGGCCGTCAGCTGGGCCGGGTCCGAGTTGTAAATGGCGACGGCAGCGGCGCCGGCGGCAGCAGCAGCCTTGAGCTTGCCAGCAAAGGTGGTCTGGTCGGGGCACACGCCACGCTCGACGAGGACGATCTTGCCCTTGGCGTCAATGTTCTGCGCAGCGTAGTTGGCGGCCGCACAGCCAGCCGGCCCTGTGGGCGCGTGCACAATGGGCAGGTCGACACCCTCAGCACTCGTGCTTGGCGAGTAGGTCAGGCCGACGGAGCGGAAGACCTCGCCGTCGACGGAGAACTCCTTGGCTGTCGTCTCGACAAACAGGGCAGGGAAATCCTGCTTTCTAATCTCGAAGCCCTTGAGCTTCTCGAGCTCGCCGTAGATGTAGTCGACTGAGGCAGCGTAGCCGGGGAAGCCGAAAGCGCGGTGACCACCGTTGGCGTAGGCAATGTCATTGAGCACCTCGAGGTTCTTCATCAGGCTGGAAAGGGGCGAGTTAGCTTGCCTGAGCCTTGCAGCAGAGACTTTCAATGACGCGGGGAGGAGGGGCAGGGCGCATACGCATCGGACTTGATGAGCTCTTGCAGCTTGTCCGAGTCAACAGGCGGGTGGCAGGGCTTCGTCTGCGCGGCGACGACGGGCAGAAGCGCCGCCGCAAAAGGAGCGTTGGTGAACTTCATGATAGCAAGATCGTGAGGATTGCTCTTGCGCTGGAGAGTGGTGCTGATGGAACAACCATGACAGACGCAGCATCCTGGGCATCATGTCTTTCTTATTTGAGCAGCTGTAAGCCTGCCATCCCCGCAGCCCTCCCGTGTTGTCTCGCCACCCCACCAGCTACCCATGGTGAACGTTGAGCTGGCGCATTTGTTGCTGATTGTTTTTTTTTTGACAAGCTCAGGCAACGGTGAAGATCGAGTTCAAATCGGGAAGGTCGTCATGCCGCCGCCAGAGGACCCCGCAGCTCGAGCTGCCGTCCACGGCCCAGCCCCGAGTCAGCGTTGCATGCCAAGTGGCCCCTCGAACCACAGCATCGAGGGAACTCATCCACAGTGACACAAGCCGCCAACATCGCCTGCCCCATCCGGCCGCTAGGAGCAGAAAGCGTCCAGCCTCCCGCTGCCCATCGCCCGCCTCCCGCGAAGGTTTGCGAAGGTTTTCGCCTCAGCAGTTGACCCGAAGCACCACCCCATCCGGCCGGACACACTGCAGCCACCCGTCACGCCGTGCCATCTCTGCGAGCAGGTACTGTGCGTGTCGCATCTCTTACATTCACGAACACGAACAATGAGTCAAAATTGGGTCGTAAGAATCCATCCACTTTCTTGATGCGCCTCATAATGGCTGGATCCCTCCCGACCTGCCCATGCCTCGGCTCCTCCCATGTCTCGTCTTTCATCTGCGTGTCGACGGAAACCAACCCATGGTATGTTGTTTGCTCGAACATGCGAGATCCTTCACTGCTGCTGTCTGGTATCCGTGTTCTCATCCGTCGTATAATGCATCGCCTCTACATGAGGATCTGAATAAAAGAGATTTGATGGTTAGCAAGGTTTTCCATAGCGGGCCGTTATCTCGCGACTTACACATTGGTCGTCGCCTTTGCCCTGGGGAATACCCATCTCCTCAAATGTCGCAGGGCCCTGGCCCGGCTGCTTACCCGGCTTGGCCTGTGCTGGGGCCGGTGGTCGTGGTTGCGCCCCCGGCGGTGCACTCCCAGTCCTGCCCTCGAGGTCCGGTCGTCCTACGGGAGGTCGCCCACCCGCACTGGGGCCTGTCGATACCCGGGGTGCACTCGCTGGGCTGCCGACCGGCATCGAATCGTACCTTTCCGGTCGACCTCCCGGGCCAACTGCTGTCGAAGTAGGGCGTGAAGACGTCCGCGCTCCGTACTCGCGACCCGGCTGTGGTTGCGATGACAGATTCGGCTGGCTGTAGTTGTTTGGTGCGCCAGGGGCAGGCCCAGGACCGGCGCCGTAGCCACCGCCACCGCCGTACGGGCTCTGTGGTTGCGGCTTGTTGTTGTAACCCGCAGGTGCCTGTTGTTTGCTGAGCTTATTGACAGCCGGGTTGCTGGCAGGACCGCCACCGCTGCCGCCCCCGTATGGCTGTGCCGTTGACGGGCGCTGCATATCCTGGCGGCCGTAACCCCCGGGGCCAGGGCTCGGCTGCCTGTATCCCCCGCCCGGAGGGCCAGGGCTCGGCTGTCTGTATCCCCCGCCCGGAGGGCCAGGGCTCGGCTGTCTGTAGCCGCCAGGTCCCTGGGCGGGCCGGCCGCGGGGGTCGCCGCCAGTTGGTGCCAGGTTCGCCATCGACTGCGAACCGCGTATGCCCTCGTTGCCGTAAGGGTGTCTTCCACCAGAGACATCCGTCGCACTCGGGCGAATGCCAAAGGCGCTCATGGGTCGGTCAGCGTGGGGTCCGGAGGCAGAGCGGAGGTTCCCGGCGCTGAGATGCCTCGAGGCCATGTCGTCATCGGGGTATGGTGCCGTGGATGGCGATCGACCGCCGTAGCTGAGCGGCGCGGGCCTGTCATCCTCAGGATATGGCGCGGCTGACTTTGGACGCATAGCCAAGCCTGTGTCGAGGTTGACGCCGAATGCAGGCGTCCTGGCGACCTGAACAGACGCGCGGGAAGGATCAGGAAAGTCCAGACCATCCTGGACCAGCGTGGGATGCTGTCCAGGTGAGGGTTGAGGCGAAACCCGAGGAGAGGGCCTGTCGATTGGCGTTGTCGGCGCACTCTCCGTGACAGTCGGCATCGCCTTGCTGGGTTGTTGTTGTTGTTGTCTGAAGCGGTCTGGTCTCTTGCCACGCTGTGAGCCGTGAGTAGACTTAATTCTGGTCAACGTGGTCGTCTCGTGGTCTTGTTTGGTCAGGGCCTTGGACTCGCTGAGGGAGTCAAGACGGCCGACGGCATCCTTGTTGCCATGTTCTGCGGCTAGTTCGTACCAGTGACGAGCTTGGCGGAGGTCTTTGGAGACGTGGATGCCGATTTCGTGGTAGTAGCCCATGGCAAATTCGCCAGTGGGCAGCTTGGCCACGGCGGCATCATGGGCATACTTGTAGGCCAGCTGCTCATTCTTGTTGAAAACGCCCTCGTAGCCAAAGAGAAACCACCTGCTGACGCCGAGCGAGGCTTCGGGCTGGCCCTGTTGCGCGGCCAGGCCGTAGTAGTGGATGGAGTAGGCTGGCTTGAAGTCGCATCCCAGCTGGCACAGCTCGTACGCTTGACCCATCTTCAGCTGCGCCTTGGCGAATCCCAAGTAAGCCGCCTTTTCTAGGTACATTTTGGCCAGAGACAGATCGAGGGGTAAGACTGTGTCGGGTATACTAATCTCGGGCAGCTCCCTCGACAGCAGCATGCCGTAAACGTAAGCACCTTGGGGCGCGTCCTCGTCCGCTGCGTCGGCAGCCTCGTTGATGAGCTGCAATCCCCTGTTGTAATCTTTGGGCTGACCGTGCTGACCCAGCAAACTCATCATGCCCAGCCGGTAGGAGGCGGCAGAGTCCTTGTGGCGCAGGCCGACATAATAATGCTCGACAGCTTGCACAAAGTCGTTGGAGCTCTCAAACAGCATGCCCATGCGATATTCAGCACGGCCGTAGCCCAAAGCTGCAGCTCGTTTGTAGCCGTTGTAGGCCTCCTTCTTGTCTTGACGAACGCCAAACTTGCCGAATTCGTGCCACTTCGCCTTGATGAACATGGCTTCAGGATGATCCTGCCCTGCGAGGTAGTCGACGATGCTAACGGCATCTAGTCGTAGAGTGTGCTCAACCTTGGGGGTCTGGGGGCGGGGTTGGCCATCTGCTTCCCTGACGGCAGCCTCTTGCAGGATCTCGACCCACGAGAGGGTATCGCGCGCCCATGACAGCTGCATGGAGACATTGTTCGAGTGCAGAACATGCTCGCGAGCTTTCCATAGAATGCCCTCCTTGTCTTCGTCGCTTGGCGGGATATTCTCCCCCTTCACTTTTGGGAAGGGAGAGAAGGAGGGGGCGTCGCCAGTGTGCGACATGGTGGCGGTCTTGCCTGGGGTGCTGCTGGGCAGAGCGGTATAATCGTCGTCAGTGGTCTTTCCGTACGCGTTGGCGGGAGGGCCCCGAAGAGACGATTGTCGCTGCGGGTGATTGCTGTAGAGGCTGGAGGGGGAGTTGTCGTCGTTTGCCGGTCGGGGGGCTTCGCGTGCTTCAAGTTCCATGCGCTGAAGGTCGTCTTGCATGTTCTGAGGGACCTGCGGCGTTATGCTGTAGGGAGAAGAAATGCAATGTCAGCGGGCGGCGTGCAAACCGGTGGACGGAGGTGGCAGCGCGCGCAGGCCGCGAGACGAGGGGTCGCCAAAACCGGACTTTCTGAGGGATTCCCCCGCCAAGTGCAGATTTTGAGGCGCCGCTGAAAGGAAACGGCACAGCGAGCGCGGCGGGGCACTCGTGCAGGGAGTAACAGAAGAATCAGACGTACCGCTGGGGGGCGGGCGCGACGACCTCAGGCATGTAATAGTCATCGAAGCCGCTGGGAACAAATGTCGCGCCGAGCTGGGGCATATCGGGTGCGGGTGCGTGAGCCTGTGACAGGTGTTGAGGCTGAGGCAGGAGGTCTGCATAAATAGAAATAGCGTCAGCGGGGGGCGGATGTTCAGTCGTTGGCCGCTGGGTGCCTGGATCGGTGGAGGACGGAGTGGTCCTGCGCGGGTGGGCGGATAGGCACTACACTGACGGTGGTTGGTGCTGGTGAGCGGCCGATGGGAGCCAGGAGAGTGCTTGTCAGGAGGGCCCTGTCAGGAGTGGGAACGGGGTGTGCAGTCGACCAGAGTGAGACTATCGAACGGTCGACCGGGCTTCGCGCAGCGTTTGTAGACAGGGGCTTGCTTCTGCCACCACGCTTGAGATGGCTCGAGTGATGGTTGTTG